CGAAAGCCGTGAACGACTCTCGTGCGGACAATACGATTGTGTTCGCCGCGTGCATACTTCGTATTCGTACGTACGTCGATCATGAGAGCAATTAAAAAGAAATAATATATAAAATATAAATGAGAGATGTGCAAAAACATATATAAAATATAAATAAAATGTGGAAAAATAAATATAAAATATAAATAATAAAGTTGAGAATGTAATTAATCCAGTGACACTTTTACGCGCTCTTGTGGTTCATCCTGTGATTCATTGACGTTAATTTGGAGCAAAAACGCGATCTGCACCAACGGATATACTCTTTACAATGTGACACGATTTATACAGGAATTTCCAGAGAGTTTGAACGGTGTTATCGTGAAAACGTAATATTCAATAGTGGTATTATCAGTCATGGATTCGATATTCGTCTTGTCATATCGCCTGCACGAGATTGGTGCTTCCGACGCGTGCCAGCACATCAACTTTTTCGTTTTCGTTCTGACATGCATGACAAATAGTATTATCGAATATATTTCGAAGAGCTAGAACACTCTTCTATCTTCAGAGCCACTCTCGCGAGCAATAGCGTTATACGGCGGTACTTATGTCGAGGAATGTGCGCGGTCGCGTTTCTGCGGTTCTGGGAATGTTGATTTTGTTAACCGAAACGCGCGTCGAGCATGTTAGCTTCCATTAGCTAGCCATAATTAATATGCACCAGCGCGAGAGGTGAAGCCGACGTACTCTCGATGACTATTGTGAAAGAGAGAAAGGAACATCTGGCAGAGCGGAGGTGCTAAACTGACTTCGTCGCTGACTCTTAACTAAGAGCAGACTCCGTAGATCTCGTACAGGCCGCGATCTTTATCGAGCTGAGCGAAGATCCCCGGACTTTTAGACTTTGCCAGAAACGATTTGCACAAGAAACTTTGCTGTTCGCGATGACGCTCTGATTAAATGAGAGTAAAAATCAACGTTAATCGTTCGCGTAATCGTTTCGATGCTGTGACGTCGAAGAAGGGTTGAATCAAGATTCTTCACGAAATCGTCAAGCTCTTCGATGAGCTTGAATGGCGACGATGGGAGTTATCGTATATATTCCAAGTAGGTAATTTCGCTTATATTCAAATTCTCTATATGCCACAAAAATTATTCCTATCGTTTCGTATTTGACTTGAAAATGAAAACTGAATTTGTTTATACATCGTTGATGCTATGATTTTTATTATCTATCACAATGACGCAATTTTATTGGACACTGATATCGATAATAAATCAAATATATATTCTTGCGATAAAGGAGAATTCAAAAGAAAAAGATATTAACGAACAATACTATTTTTTTAAAGCATATCGAGCGTTTGCACCGCTTATTTGTTTCAAGACTGCTCGCTGATATCTATAGAAACAAACCGCGAAAATTGCAACGTCACTCGAATTTCCATATCGCGATCACGTCACATGTTTATCGACCCTGACTCGCGCGACCAGGAAGTCAGAAAAATGTGAATAACATCTTTCAGTGTTCTTTATGAAAGAGATAGTACTTATATATATATATATTTGCATTGCCCGATCATACGACTTGCGTCATCGGCACGATGTGTCGTTACCGATCCATGTGACAGCTCGATTAGATCACACGCACCGCTAATGAAATCATCTTGGGTATAATGAAATTAGAATGAGAGTCGAATGTTTTACTTGAGTAAAAATAAGCATTACATAATGCGACGTCTGAATTAAACGCTCGGCTGATCCTTGAGAAGTAACTCTTGACAACATGATAACATTATCGTCTGTGTAGTGCTGAGTCATGATAATTCGATATTTGATGCATGTGCGTCCGCACAAGCATGTTAAATATTGAATAAAATGTATCAAAGATTATTTTCTAATACATGTGAAGTAAATAATTTATAACGAATTTTGTGTGTACAATACTTATACGTAAAAATATAGAATAAATATTAAAAAACAGAATGGAATATTTATTTTTTAACGCGGTAAAATATAACTGCTCTCATATCGTACTTTAAAAACTATTATATAAATACTAATTATATATAAATATACTCAATCATATAATAAATACAACAATAAAAATTGTATAACTATGTAGTATCATGAGTTATAATAAATAAAAACACAAATATCTGAAAGAGAAAATTAGAAAAGAATAAAGAAAAGAGACAAGAAAAGAAAGGAAATTATAATTAATAAAGATTAATAATTTTTTTTTACGCGCGCGCGAATATGAATCTCTAAGAAGTATCATCTTATTTAAAAGACGGAGAAAAGGATAAAGAAAGAAATAAAAGTATCTATTGTTAACATCTATTTCACAGCTTTAATTTGAAAACATGATAACGACAATTCACTCTATGTAGCATTTGGTAATCGATGGTAGATAAACAGTTTATAACACGCATGCTATAAAGTTTCGTTATGAGTATGAGTTTATTAGGGCCATCTGTATCTATATCTTATTTTTCTTCCATATCTTTATCTCTCTCTTATATTTTTTTATAAGATTCAATAAAAAAATTTGGTTGAATTTTTTCTTGATATCTTATAAATAATATATAATACATTATGTGTAATAAAAACAATATATGATAAACATATAAATTAGATGCATGCGCTTTATTTATGTGTTTATTTATATATTACATAACATATGATAAATATATTATGTATAATATATGATACATAATATATGATTTGCTACATATTGTGAAGTTGCAACTTGCACAAACGTCTATTCTTTTACTTGGATAAAAATACTTGCTGTTAGCAGAAGATAGAGAGGCTAAATAAACGATTAACTTTGCAATGTTGAAGACTGAGTTGAAAAAATGCACGACGCATTTCCTTTTCTTGAAACTAGTTAATAATAACGAGTAAAACCTGGAACCAGTCACGTACGGTTTGAAGGCACTCGGTCACGCTGACTGTTTCTAAGAATGTTGTATCAGCGCGTCATTGCACCGTAGATGCAATTTGTCGCGATTTAAGAAGATGCATGTTATTAATATGTGTGGAAATGAATTTTTTTATTTCTCCGTCTCTTTGTTATTCTGTGTGCGAGAGCCACATAAAATAATATTATTATATAAATAAATAGTATCAATCCAAATTTATCTCTGTATTCAAACTTTTATGACTCACACATATAAAAATTTTCGGAATAATTTTTTCAACGTTTACAGTAATTATTGATGACTATAAAAATATTTCATTTATTTATATATGTCATATAATGAACAATGATTTGTGATTATAGGCGTTAAATGCAAAAGATATTCTTATTTATTTTGTTTACGAAGAAAATCAAGTAAAACAAATAATGGCAATCAATAAATATCAGTTTTATGTTTATTTTATAAAAATGTTATCTTTTTATAAAAATATCCTAAATATCCAAAATATTAATAATATAATTAACATTAGTAAATGAAGATATTTAGTGTGTTTATCTCTGCCATATAGCTTCCTTTCATTAAAAAAAAGCTAGAAATGAGAATGTTCGGAGTTATATTTTTAGCTGTTACGATTAATACATTTATTTAATCGATTCTACTGCGATATAATAATACAAAGATAATTTTATACACAAAAATTGTGGTAGAACTCTATTTGTATTATTCATATAATAAAAGGCAGATCGATCGTTCGTTTCAAAATAATTAAAGTTTATAGGTCAGTGAAAAGTTTGCAGTAACTTTATTTCTTGCAACTAGTTATATATAATATTTCTTGCAACAATGACAATCTACTACATCTATGATGATAACGGGATTTATGTGCCAACGTATTTTTCCCATATGTTTGCACGTCTTTCTTGCGGATCTTATCTTGTGTACAATCGGTGGACTTTAAATCCGATTGATATTAATAGGCATGTTTGATTAATGATATATGTTTGATTAATGATATATCTATATTCTCAATTATCTTGAATAATATCGCAGGCTTTTTTGATACATATATATTTTTTTAAATATTTATATTAGTAATAGATATATAAAAATTTTTCATATGGAAATAGATAAATTAACATGAGAGCAATTAAAATAATTTTTTGCATGTAAAATATACAAATGACATGAAAAAGTAATTTGTTTAATCAACAGCTAAATCTCTGTATAACTATTATATTTAAATATAGATTCATAAATAATATTTCCATATTTTTTTACGAAGAATATTCTGCAGATCATAGTAAATTGTTAGTTGTGATACTTGCACATGTTTTAAATAATCATCCGCGCAAAAACCGGTTATAGTAAATGTCATGTTTGCTCGAAAGGCTCGAATACCAACATATCAGAAATTGCATTTAATTCTTTATAAAATGTTTTTTATTGTTGCGTTAAATTTTGCTCAAACAAGATATTTGCGAAAGAACATTACGTCCGCGAAAAATTGTCATGCACGAGATGTAGGCGACGACCTACTTCGCGGCATGCGTATTCTGTAAATATGATTTTAGGGTTGTACAAAGCTGTACATTCGCACGAGATAAGAAGTGATTATATCAAGTAAAAAAAATCTAAATATTTGCACTATCAAAATTATCATGTTATTCGTAATCGAACGTTTCTGAAATAATTTTTTTTTTTTTAAGTAACTACACGGAGAGAATTTTCTCTTAGAATTTACCCTGAAAATCATGATAATCGTGAGACAATATGGTCATGAAAAAATTTTATAAGACTTTCTCTGATCATTATTTACCAGAATAAAAATTAATATTATATGTACATAGTAAAATTAATCAAACATATCTTATATCTTATTGTGGTATAGATGTTAATATTTTTATTGTAGTAAATATTAATCAGAGAAACTCTTATAAAATTCTTCCAATACCATATTGTCTCACGATTACCATGATTTTCAGGATAAATTTTGAAAATGTTCTCCGTGTACCTTTTAACTTCTTTAATTATTCGTATAGAGCAATTATATAATACGAAATTATATAATTTGTATTATTTATTGTTTTGTAGGCATGTACACTATGCGCATGTTGGATAACGGTAGCAACAATGCATCCGGACCCACCGGTGCAGCGGCTTTACCGAATGTGCAAACGGCTGGCGGTGCGACTCCGGCGACTACGGGTGTCACGACTTTACCTGGGGTAGCCGACGAGAGGATGGACGCTTCGAGTGACAGCGCTGTCAGTAGTATGGGTAGCGAACGCGTACCATCTCTCTCGGACGGCGAATGGATGGAAACTGGATCAAATTCCAGCCATACTCAGGCTGACTCTCATTACACTATGGATTACGCGAGGTAATTAATATGTAATAGTATTACTTAATATGTAATCGAGTCAGAAAGTATTAATATGTAATATACTTAATCTTTGTTAAAAATTAAAAAAAAAGATGACAATTTCCTCTTTGATTAATTGTAAAAAAATTGTGTTTCGAGATATAGCTATATAAGATGAAATGTCATATTGAGTTACTGTGAAAGCTCAAATAGTTCCTTTATCTTATCTTTAAGTCAGAGAATTTGGTTGATTTCAAGATTTAATGACCATAAATATAATATGCAATATATAATTTAATATGCAATATATTTTAAAATTTTATCGAGATAATCTTTGTATTTCATTGTAGCAAATATCGCATGCCATACGACTGTAGCTACTCGGTATCCGGGAGAAATGCCGGCTCTCCGAGATGTCAAACAGAACGGACTGTACCGCCAGTCGCACAAAAGAAACATCAAATGTTCGCCAAGCGATATTTTCAAGAGCAAGGCACTTGTTAGTATTTAAAAATAATCTCTAATGTAATTTTCTCAGAGTATATAGAATGATGACATAGAGAATTTAATTAAAATTATTTTTTAGGCTCACCTTTAGGAGCTACTGCACATCCGACTACTCCAATGAAATATGAATATGACACACATACAGTTGGTGCGGGAGCACCAGGGAACACGTATTCTGGACCAATCGAGGGTGCAGCCGGGCCACAGCCTGAAATTAAATATAGTTGTAGTGTGGATTTCAGTCGTCATCAATCTGGTAAGAGAAAATAGACAAATTTATCCAACAAAATTCAGAAACATTGTTATAGACGATGAATATATTGTTTATGCATAATTATGTCTTATATACTCTACGTATATGTATTTAATTTTATATAAATTTAAAAAATAATTATATTATTTTAGGACGATCTGCAATAGAACATGTTCATCATAATCACACCTATCATTTACCTGCTGAGAGTTCAGGATCCCTTCAACGTCCAATTTCCCGCGATAAGAAAGGTAATATATTAAGGGTATAATATTTTTAAAAGTTTATACCAATATTTAAAAACTGTTAATAATTAGAATATAATATGAGAATATCATATGTTTGTTTTTTATAATTTTAGCCCGCAAAAATGACAATGATGAGCATTTAACGAGAGACGAGAAGAGAGCAAGAGCATTGAATGTGCCGATTGCAGTCAGTGACATCATCAACCTTCCCATGGACGAATTTAATGAACGTCTCAGTAAATATGATCTCAGTGAGGCCCAACTATCGTTAATACGCGACATTAGAAGACGAGGCAAAAACAAGGTTGCCGCACAGAATTGTCGCAAAAGAAAATTGGATCAAATCATAAGTCTAGCTGACGAAGTAAAAGAAATGCGAGACCGTAAGATGAGGCTTGTCCGCGAGCGTGAGTTTATGCTAATTGAGAGACAGCGAGTGAAAGACAAATTTAGTCAACTTTATCGTCATGTTTTTCAAGTTAGTATTACTATCAATCTTACTTCTTTCTAGTATTAAGTATATACTAATTTTTTTAATCAAAAAGTTTAATAATTGTTTCTAATAATAAATTATTTTTTACATAATAAATTATCTTTTATATGTATTTATTTTATTATTTATGATTTTCTGTTAAAATGTTTTCTGTAAAAATGATTTAAAAAACTGTAATATCTAATTATTTATATTTATATTTCAGTCTTTACGGGATCCAGATGGTAATCAATATCATCCCTATGAATACAGTCTTCAACAGTCTGCGGATGGGAACGTTCTGTTAGTTCCCAGAAATCAGACAAATCCGCATCAATCACGGCAGTCTTCAATGGAACCGAAGACAAAACCCGATCCTGAGCACAAGGAATGAAATTCTTAAAGGATTGTGATTGATTATTGAGGAACTCCTGTTCTCTCTTGAACAGAGGACGTGCGTCCGAAGCGTAGTGAAGGCGTATACGGTGTCGGGGAATGAAGATTGTTATACGTTATTAGAATTACTGCGCATAATTCTCGTCAAACAAAATTCATGATTTTACATATGGTTCGCACTCCAAATAAACAACGAAATTCGTTGAAGCTATTAGCTTACAAATCGCGACTATGCGATTCTTGACAAATGACTTTTTTTTTAAATATATTTAGAAAAATAAGAAAAAAATAGGATTTAATCATCCTAGTAATGGTTGTTGTATGTAAGGGTGATATCACAGTTTTTTCAGTTACTTTAATTCAGTTACAGACCACACCCATATTAATACATTTTCACGTCCAAAGATCATGTTGCGTATTTTTTTTTTTTTTTTTTTTTCATTCTCACAATAAAATTTTTATATTACAGCATCGGGGGGAGGGCATACAATTAGTTTATTCGTATACATTGTATTTTGTCCGTTGACTGTCCTAAGTAAGGAAAATAATGAAATAATGAAATAAAACTGAAAGCTTCATAAATTTCTTGTAATCTTGTCTTTACTTAAGCTTTACTTAAGCTATCACTAAACGAACATATTTCAAGAGTTTATATTGGCCTTATAGTGACACATAATATTATATACTTTTGAAAGGATAATGAAATGAGTTATAGTATGTGAGTTTTCTTGCAATTGTCTAAATAAATCACGGTATCTATAGCGTTAAAGGAAGATTACCATACATAATTAATAAGATAAATTGATACACATAAATAATAAGAAGTTAATAAAAAATAAATATAATAAAATGACTATTATATTGTAAAATAATTATATTGTAAAATCATGCACGAGAACTGTTGTGTCATCATAATTGAAGCAACTCTAAATTAATGTCTTATTCCAATTACTATTCTTCCTGCTTTATGCGTAAAATATGCTTGTTAACTTCTTCAAATACATATACGTAAATGTGTAACTGACATGTGCAGTGATACAATATACATTTAAAAAACTCATTTTTTATATTCATAAAAACAAATTTTATCTTGTTTCCATGTAATTATTTTATCTATGAATATGATACATAATTGATTTTTACACACACACACACACACACACACACACACACACATACATATATAAAATGCATATATAAAATTCTCATAGAAGTATAGGAGTGCGATGATTACATTGAAATGTACCTATCCAGTGATTTCAATCAATTGATTGTGATTATTGTTAGTAGTATACTTAATTGCCAAAAGTATGACACTTCTAACTTGCCACAAGCAAAATGCTGCGATGTTGGCACATCATGTGCATATTGATGTGAATAAGCAAAATGTTGCGATGTTGATACATCGTGTGCATATTGATGTGAATAAAGTGAACGTTAATCATGCGCAATATGTATACTATTAAATAAACTTTGTTGTGTTATAAATTTAGAGAATACACATCGATTTGCGAAGCGCTTAGTTTCAGGGGCGTCATGGATGTGCAAAACTAGATGGATAATGCAAAACTAGAACTGCATTTAATTGAGGATTACAAAGTAGAGTGAAGCGATAAAAGGCAAATGATTGAGGCATTGGCAAATTTGCAGTAACTAATCTTTGAACCATTTTGTGTTCCATGTAGAAAGCAGCTTGAACAGATTTTTTAAATTTCATTCTGGTCAGACAGATCACACACTGTAATATATATATATATATATATATATATATATATATATATATATATATTACAAATAACATAGTAAATATAATACAAGTATGTGAATACATTTACTGCGATGCGTTATTATAATGCTATATTATTAATAGCATTCGTTGAAATACGAACAAACATGATAAAACACATATTTTTATAAAATAAAAAGATGAGAAATGTTCAGGTATTTCACATTTGCCTTTTTATGTATATATTAATGTAGCTAGTATAATTTTCTATAAATATTATATAAAATATATATATATATATATATGAAATATATGAATGTATGTATTTATGTATATGTATCTGTATATATAAATACATATACACAAAGAGTAATAATAAAATATATGTTATAATGTTAAAAAACGAACGAAGATACAATTTATGTCAGCAATTATTAATAATCAGCTCCTTATTAACATTTACATATGCAATTGTATTCATATAATGGGGTGTAGGATGCCTTTTACATATTGTACTTAGCGAGCGGAGATCTCACTATTGGCAAACCTTTGTAAAAAATTAATTTATAAGAACTCTGTTCGTCTATTGTACAAACAATTATTTGGATATGCACAAATAGAGTGCAAATCCACCTAATTACAATGAAGATCTCCTGTCATTAAATTTCTATATTATATAAATAAAGCTGAATAAACCTCTGGGGAAAGTATCATACTGATTTGTACTTGTCTAATTCATGAATACCTAATCTATGAATACTAATATTTTTATAAAAATTTAATATTATTCAAGAAAAACACATTTATATATTTTTTAAAATTGTATATATAATATATAAATATATATAATATATATTCTCAAGTTGCACATTGAACACTAACATTTTTAAGATATTAAAAGTTAAATATATGTGAAATTTGTATTAGATATATATATATATATATATATATACATATATATATATAAATATATATATATATATGCATATAAAATATATTTCCATTTTCTAATCAAGTTATAATAAGTATATATGTTATAAAAGTATGTATTAATATATATATTCTCAAGTTGCACGCATTGAACACTTTACATCTTTGAGATATTAAAAGTTAAATATATGTGAAATTTTTATATATGCATATAAAATATTTTTCCATTTTAAAAACGTCATATTGTTTAAATTAATATTTCTTGAAAATATATATGTAATTGTAAGCTTTACGCCCTATCCCTTTACTGACAAAATATATCTATTTAAATATTTAGTAAGTCATCTTTATATAATGACTTTTGAGCTGGAAAATAAATAATAAAATATTTTATAAAAAACAAATTTGAAAAATATGTACATAATTTTTTGATATATTGCTCAATGTTAACGTCAAAAATTATAACTCTCGAATTACGAATACGCAGCCGCTGAATTCCGGTTGGGAGAAGCCAGAGAAGGAAGGAAGTAGAAGTGGAATCCGGAAGTAGTAGCACAGTATATAATAGTAGCACGTGGTAACAGAGAGATCGTTCAGCGATATAGGATTATGTTGCTTTGTATATTTCGTTCGTTATATAGTAAGTTCTTGATATTTAATATTCTTTATTCATTCGTTTATCTACTTTATATTTATTTTGACATATCTGATTGTGGTTGCTAAGAAACAAAATCTTTACAGAGTAAAAATGACGCCCGAAGCATGGTTAAAATACATATATAATTCCAAGATAACTGTCTTTGTTGAGAATGGTAAGAATAATTAAATATAGTCATGATTATTAAATCAGACCTATAATTCTTCTGTTTTAATTTTGCATGTGTTTTATTTACAAGTTATGTGCTTCTAACCTCCAAATATATATGTAATCTTTTATAAAAGATATATAAAATATATACATATAAAATTATAGAAACAATACTTTCTTAATTACATCATGTCACAGTGCTACTAAATTTTTCGAAACAATTTCATTGCTTTCTTAATAAATTTCAAATATTATTATATTTGTCATACTCAAATATATGTGAAATTATATGTGATATTTTCTTTTGTAATACATCAAATTGTGTACTTGTTTTTTCGATTAAAGGATGTCCTGATATTAAAATATTTAAAATTAAATTTTGCATAATGTTTAATAAATGCAATGTATATGTTCAATAAATGTAAATAATTTACTGATTTATGTTTGATTATAGGACATAGAAAAGTTCATTCTTTATTTCAAAATGGGGCAGAAATGGTAGAAGAATATAATCTAGATACCCATGTAGTAATGCGAAGAATTTGGAAGAAGAAAAATAGTTTTGGTACAGATCTCGGTTGGACCGTAGAAATTGGAGATCCTGAACCTAATGAAAATAGTATGGAAATTGGAATACGAGAAAGTTCAAAAGCTGTATGTTATTTTTCTATTATAAATATATAAGTTGAAATATGTATTTCAACATTAATTAATTAAAATCTAAAGTGTGATATTTATAAACAGGATATGCATAATGTATTTTCTAAATTTATTTTTAATTGCAGCCATTTATTATACAACGAATAACAAAAACGGCCCTGGAATGGCGAATTATGAATTTACCATATCCTCCTTATATATATAAAGTTACTGTAGAAAAAGATGACACTATAACTGTACGTACAACTAACAGAAAGTACTTCAAGAAAATAAAGATTCTAGACCTCGAGCGAATTGGATTAAAACCAGAACAGGAAAGACTATCATTTGTGCATCAGTATAATACTTTAATTATAACGGTATGAGACATTTTTTTATATACATGTTTTGTATATATTGTTTATTATATTAATTATATTTATTTATATGACTTATTATCATTATTTATTTGTTTTTTCTTTATTTTAGTATAAAAAGCCTGCCGAACTTCTCGATGTGGAACATAAAATACTATCCAGGATTTTAGAGGTGGAAAGTAAACAATATGTACAACAATATGTACAACAATATGCACGAACATATGGACAACAAAATGAACAATATTCACAACATCCACAACAATATTCACAACATCCTTCACAACAATATTCACAACATTCTTCACAACAATGTCCAGTCATTTAATAAAGCGTCATGAACATATTACTGACTCTTGATCAAGTCAGATTGTGATAGTTTTCTTTGTATTAATCAAATAAAAAATAATTTCACTTTTGTACAGAATAAAGTTTGTGAATTAATATCATATGTATTTAAAATTTGTGACGCATTTCTATAATTTGAATTTTGTGCCTTAAAAAGATAATATTTCTTAAATATATTTATATCATTTGCTAATTAAAAAAATGTTAAATTAATAAATAGTATAAGAATCTTTTATTTAATTATATATGTTCTATTGTAAGGCAGGCATAGTAAATTAAATTGTAGTAATTTGAATTGTTTGAAAAATGTCACTGATCTCATATTTTTTATAATTAATCATATCCGAACGCAATAATTATACATGTATAACGTAAATAAAATTTTCGTCATATAAATAAAATGAATATTTTAAATAAATTTTAAGAGATGCCCTATGCAAAAAAATGGTGAATAGGTTAGCACAATACTTGGGTCTACTTACTTTAATGATGCTCTTTCAGATGTGATTGTGTAGAATTTCCTTTATAAAGACTGTCAAACTTTGCGCTACGCGATATAGTAAAGTAAAATATAATAAAACAATCGCCCGATACTTTTCTTGATACTCCCGATAAGAAAATATTTGCGAATTTATTCTAAGCAATTTCCGCATCCATAACTCGGATATAGAAAGAAATATCTAGTTTGTAATGTTTCTATCCTAACATAACCATAGCTATCCCATATAGCGATCACAATATTAATTAGAATGATGATATTAATTACAACAATTTATTTCGTTTCTTCGACACTCACGACACAATTAAATTTGCATCCCGAAACGTCTCGACGCAGTCATTACATGGCGCGTAAAAATCTCGAACTTCCGGTTCCGTTAAAACTGATTCGATTTTAATCTCCCGGCTAAATTCAATTCGCATAATATATACAAATATAAAATCGAGATCTCCGAATCGGAAATTAAAATATTGTGTGATTCTCGCACTTACTAATCGCACGTGATAATGATTTGTAGCGTCGAGACATCCTTGATGTAAAAAATGTCGAAAAAACAAAATACCTATTAACAATAAGTGATATAACGATTAATCGAGGCGTCGATATCGCGCGCGAAGAATCGAGAGATCGATCTATCGAACTCTTCGTCGGTCGAGTCCGCGCGTCTGCTGCTGTTGCTGCGTGTGTGTGCTGTGTGATGGTGGTATTGCGTTTCAGTGTCATGTCCTTAGTTTCGCGGGAAGATTTTTGAGTGAACGGCAAATATGACGAATTCGGTGCCGGACAGGTAAGCGATTTTCCATTCGCCGCACGGCGAGGCTCGCCGACTGTTTCGCAATAGTTGAAATCGCTCGTGAATCGGGATCGTAAGCGTAGTCACATTGCGAAGAGGTTATGCTTCGCCGATTTTTTTCTTGCGTCCGAAATACATCCTGCGATAGTGCCGTTAATGCGACAATTGTACGCGATCATTAATCCGAGAATGAAATAGCGCCTGTGACGTGTCTAATGTCAATATAGAGCGAATAGTTGAGATTTTGTTAATTCGGAAAGAAATTCGACGCTACCCTCGAGACAGCTGATTAACCGATCGAGCACGAATGTCTCGTGTAATTTCCCGCCGTTTATTGCAGATGGCATTTTATGTACTTTAACTCGCCGAATTTTGAAATTTCATTTTTAGTTCATTAGTGTGCGCGCCCGAAAATGTTAATGTTTACTTGGGCATCGTGAGTTTCTTTTTTTAGATATGTGTGTGTAATAATTATATCGCGTCGAGTGTCTAATTTTCATAGCGATATATCGTTAAAGATGTTGGAATAGAATGAATTAGAGATAATGTATTTTCGTAGAATTAAGTACGTAATTAGTGGAAATTGAGTATCATTCATATTTTTAGATTAAGAGGAATAGAAAATAAATAGAGAAAAAAATAGCATATGTGTATACACGATACGAAAATCTTTTCTTATAATTTATCCTGAAAATCATGGTAATCGTGAGACAATAGGTATGGGATTGGAAGAATTTTATAAGAGTTTCTTTGATTGATATTTACCACAATAAAAAATATTAATATGTACATAGTAAAATTAATCGAACATATTTTATATCTTATCGTGATAGATTTTATTAATATTTTTTTATTGTGATAAATTTTATATATATATATATATTATTAATCAGAGAAATTCTTATAAAATTCTTCCAATATCATATTGTCTCTCGATTATCATGATTTTTAGGGTAAATTCTAAGAGAAAGTTCTCTATGTGGAATATCTGCACGAATATATGTACAAACACAATAGGAACTGATAAATCAAAATTTGATGATTGATAATGACATACATATTTATAATGTTTGTTAAAATATTTGTTGTGAAAAAGCTTTATATCTGATTCAATGAAACTATCTGCGTTTTATTGGACTTTATTTCTGCTATCGAATTAAATGCAAAAATATAATATTGCTTATTATTAATTTTATAATTATTGCAATTTTTGTGATTACAGATGGTTAGAGTACAAACCTTTTGGTAACGTGATCAAGGGCACCAATATCATAGCATTCAAAGTTCCATTAAAAGACGTGAGTCTTAAATAATTTACTTATTTTATTTATATTATATTTATTTATATTATAATATAATTTATATTATATTTATGTTATATTTATATATTATGTTTATAATTGATTTTTTTCAATTATATTGTATTTTAATGAATTATGTATATAACGAGGTTATATAAAAATTAAAATGTTGAATATTAAAAACAAATAATCAAATCAACAATTTTTACTTAAATCGTATTTATGCTTTAGCATATCAATGTAAAAAGAAAGTAAAATATTTTTCAAACTGATCTAAAGAATAAAACAAAAATTTGATATATAATTATAATATAAATATAAATTAAAATACTGCAGACATGATATAAATATTTATTGATTTTTTAATGCTAAGAACATTGATGATTCTTATACATTCATGTGAATGTAATATAAAAATATTTATAGTTGAGTTAAGGGTTGTATTATTGCGATTCATGATGTTGAAAACGTTTGTATTATAATATTCAAAAATGAAAAGTATATTTTTCTATTATAATTACGGTAACCATTTTCTGAGAGAAAATAAAGGACAAATCTGAAAACTTTAGAACTTTGTTTCAACATGTTTCCAAATCAGTTTGTAACCAAAGTAAAGATCGACGAGCAAAAAAAAATAATTCTATGACTATCAGAAGTCTATATATAATCTTATAGTTTGATTCTGAACAAATACTTGACTTTTTAAATAGATTTCGGATAAGAAGTTCTATTATTTTTTGTACAAATTCTCATGTTAATATACAACATTAGATATAAAAACGCAAAATAAAAAATAAAGGATAAAATTGTAACATAAAGGACATAATTTTAAAATAAAGAACAAAATTGAGTGTTGAAAAAATGAATTTTAAAGGACAACTATTCAAAATAAAAACTTATCCTTTAAATTAAAGGACGGATGGTCACCATAATTATAATATATATAAAAATCTAAATTATAGGCATTATTCTATTAAAGCAAAATTTATAAAAGCACGCGAGGTTCTCGCGGAATTCACGTTATAGTCGCAGTTCGCTGAAACAGGATGCCCTTTTTGTCTACCGCCCTTCTATCTCTCCCTCATTCTTCAATTCTCCTCTCTCGTTCTTCCCCTTTACACTAAATCAAAGATTCTCTTTGCGGGGGTCGGGACGACCGCATGGCAGATAAGATCGCGTTGGATTCTCGAAATGAACGACGGGCGGCAGGTACACGCGTCGTCGCTGCGATACATGCACGCGTGTATAGGTGCGTTCGCACGCACGTAGGGCTCGTGGGATCGTGGCACGGGTCTCCGTTAAATCGATGCGGCATCGCAGAGCCGGAGGAAAAGAGAAGCAGAGACGGAAGAGAGCCGTGCGTTCACCCGTCTACTCCGGGACGCACCCAAGGGTGGGAAAGCAACGTCGTCATCGTCGTCGTCTTCGTCCTCATTGTCGTGAGATCTCATATCGGTCGCGGCCAAATTGCCGTATTGTTGCGCGCGCGATGACCCCCCTGTAGATATAAACAAACATGATATATGTGTGTTCCTCCTTTTCCCTTTCTCGGCGGCTCGTGCAGACCGTCTCACCGATTCTCTCCTCTTCTACTAGTCTAATAAGTGAAACGTATGCTCTAATGCCAGACGTTATTGCACGCGCCGATTGACATCTAGTTATTCGCACGCTGACAATGAGATGCATGCGCTCGTTTATTGAGATTCTTGGAATTTTCAATTAGAATTTGGTCGAAATATTATAATTGTCGATGTCAATTTGCTTCTAATGTTTTTCTAAATATTTCTCATTCCCTATCTTTATTGGGGATTATAAAATGCTTGTCGTAATAATTATAATTATAAAGAAAATATATCATGCATATTTTAATTAGTTTGATATTGCATAAGAAATTATTTTAATATGTAATTTTAATTATTAGTCTTCAATGTTCTTTTCAATGTTTTTTTTAATATTTCTCATTCCCTATCTTTATTGGGGATTATAATTATAAAGGGGATTATAATTATATATAAAGAAAATATATCAAAATAAAATAATAAAAGATGCTGAATTATTTTTTTCCGATTTTATTTGATATTGCATGAGATATTATTTTAATATGTATATAATTATAATTATTAGTCATCAATGTTCTTTTCATTTAATATAATATTTTCACCTGCGACTGTATACACAGTCAATGAGCATTTGCATAGCATCTCATTTATCTTGAAAAAAAAAAAAACGTTTTGCATAAATATGAAAATATTGTTGACGCCTAACAGGCATATTGCGGCATTTTTATTACCAAAATAAGTCGAGATCAATCGTTTTCTGATTATCGGTTTAAGGGCTGCGCATACGTCACGTTGCATATGCTGATTATGGGCGGCGCATGGGCTCCTAATTGACGGCACAACGGTGTCCAGGTTTCATAGGATATAAAACATTTTTATATACCTTCGACTCCGCGTCAAATTCTCATTAAAACACGTAACGATAGTCCGTCTAATTGACCGCATCGCGCTTGCCACGACGACGTACTTCTGATCGTCGCATCTCTCCACTTACAAAATAATCTCGCGACTCTCGTTATCTCATTGAAGATATGATTAGGCCGGCCATTTTTCATGGCAATTATAATAGTTCACGATAATTTGTATGTTAATCAACATTGAATGGTTATTGATTAACGTTCCGTATCTGATAAATTTTTGGATGGAACATTCCGATAATTTTTGTTTAGAAGAATCCATAGTTTTTTACTTTACTTCTTTCCCGATAATTAACACAATTTATTTTACATGCACGTCATATGTAATACAATATTCTATTTTTATCGTATTAAAATAAAAATTTTAAAAATATACATATATGTATACACTGAAAAGAAATAAAAATTGTATTGAATTCGAATAAATATTTATTTCTATATTGCTATATTTGTTTCAAATCAATGATTTATTTGGCAGTGTTAAAATAAATATTCATTAATTTAACAATTTTTTTCAGCGTATCTTAAATTGATCTTAATATGCTTACAGATAAATTTGAGATATGCATACATTCCATTGATTTAATTAAATTTAATCGTTGCTTAAACACTCGAAAGAAGATTTTGACGCTATTCGTTACCCAGTCGCATTATTCCTTGGGTCTTTACAAGTCGCTCGTGTCAAAAATCCGCGGGATCCGAGTGGAAGAATTAGCGATCCTAATTCGCCGCACGGTCGGAGGTGAGCAGCAATGTTTTGCGATCCTCGTTTGCTCCGAGCTATTTAATTTCCGCCTAAACTCGTGGCCGGAACCGGTCTTTCCCGTCCATTTTCGGCCGTTCTAACTCGCGCAGGACAGTTGCAAATAAGTTTCGGCTCGTCGGGATCGCCCGCTATGCGTATACGTTGCGTATATATGCATACGCAAAATAGGAGAGTGCCATAGCTAATTGATTCTGGCATCGCGGGCATTACATAAAACAAGTCGAAGTTAGGGCTCCGAATTGGATTCACAAACTGATTGGGCCCTCGCTGCAGCGGCGGCGGCGACCGCAGGGGGCCACTTGTTAATAGGGCCCTCAAAGGGCCAGCACCCATTCTTGGGCTGCCTGAGCTCGCGCACGGCGAACGCTTCTTCATCATCTATATAAGAACTTGTAACAAATATCGGCTCACACGAAACGTGATACGCTCTTCGCCGACGCTTCACAGTAGGTTTTCTATCTTTCCTTCTCTGATTGGGGAACGATGCTGACTTGATGAATTTAAGATGGTGTTACTCATATATTTTTGACGCAGATGCATTTCTTAGCAAAAGTTTATTTTTCTACAATGAATTATTTGCATAAGTAGAAAATAAATAGAAATAATTTGAAAATAACTTGTATTAGATTGGGGATTTCACTTGACTGCCAAAACTTCATGTTATTTATAATAAAAATTTTGCAAATTATTATTATTATATTGCGTTTGTACTTTTTGTTTAATATAATAAATATTTGATTAAAGATAAAATTAATGAAGAAAAATTGAACACTTTAAAATATTTATATAAGCTTTTATAATTTTTTCGAATTTTTCAACATATCTAATTAAATTTCTACAAACATATATTTACTTTCTGACAATGATATGTATATATATTTTTTATGCATATACTTTCATTAAATTGTCAAGATCCGAGATAAATAGATAGCTATCAAGTTATTTCTTATTATTTTTTCTTGAGCGATAGGGACGTCAAATATGGAATTCGACCGCCTATCTCGACAGATTATTTTTTTCCTTTTTTTCTTTCTTTTTTGGAACTGCTGCGGCAATGTTGGGGATTTCTGCACGGTGGTAGAATATTAATTCATGTCCAGAAGTTAGGATAGGGCTCGCTAGATAATGTTTCTCGTCGTGGGTGATATCTATATTTCAACCCTCCAAAAATCCCGAATATTGAGATTGTTATCGCGTGAACTTCTCAGTTACACATGGGCTACTCGCCCTTCTAGTAAACGCGTATAAGCAGCTGTTTCTTCGGGAATAAGACGAATGGAGAGGATTGAGCATTTTGTGTTTTAAATTTGCCTAAAACTTTCTAGAGGAATGTATTCCTTTAACTGTATACTGTAGAAGAATGTATTTCAATTCACGCGGTGGAATTTGTTCATTTGCAATTTAAATTAAGCTTAGTATATATTGTATATAATATTATTGTGCAATATTATTTAAATTTATATCGAAATTATTTACAAAATTTTTATTTAATGTTACATAAAATATAACTATTGATAATTTTATTTGTGGCATGAGGTACAAATTCAATTTTATTTTTATTAAGATAATTAGCAAATATATCTTGTTAAATATATACTTATATCTGATGCAACAAGAAGGAAGAAGAAAAATTCTGTTTTCTAACATGAAAAATAACGACATTTCTTCGATATAGTCATTAGAATTTTATAGCACTACCTTAGCTAAATATTCCACCGACTCGTTGATTAATTCTGTTATGATAACTCAAGAATG